TATATTAGTATATTATTATAGTGTTATATTTCAATTTCACAAAGAAATGTGCAGCATGTTGTCCAAGCAATAATAAAAGGACACATTTAGTTTATAATTTGTCTTGAAACTCATTTTGTAAAAAAAATACAATTGTGAATCGAAATCGAATCATGAAATCAAAATCGTGAATCGAATCGTGAGTTGAGTGAATAGTTACATCCCTAAAAACAACAATTGACAACCAACTCACATCAATATAAAAAACATTATATAAGATTTTTCATTTCAATATCTGAAGATTATAACTTAAGATAATGTTCTTCCACTACAAAATGCAACTATTTAAAAAAATATTGATGTAACTTCTTCAGGCATAATTTTCACATAGCAGTGTACAACTTACAGTTTGTGCACCAGGTGGTTGCGTAGATCCTGGGTGATGTCCTCGTGCCAGCTCTTCCTCATGCTACCACTGGCAGCTGGGTTGGCCATAGGCATACACCCCAGACCGCCCACAGCATTGTCATTCATCAGACTGGGGAAAGGGGAGCGAAAACAAATGAGGACCACTCTATGTTTATATATGAACTTATCAAAACTGACAGACACCTGCTGCTGCAGATTAGTGGTACTGTGAAATTTTAAGACCATCTGAATGCGGAGGAGTTAATGGCGACTAGTTACACAAGATGAACCCAAGGGTTGTTTACCTCTGCGAGTTCATGTTCAGATGCAACATTGTATCCTGGAGAAGGTTAGCTTGCTGATTCTGAGACTGACCACCCACTGCTCCGTTTACTCCCATGGGATTTGCTCCTATAACAAGAAAGATCATGAGAAGAGGTACCACTGCAAAACTTCATTGCCAAGTCTAATGAAGATTTTTGTGCTCATGAAGGCTGCATTTATTTGATCAAAAATGCAGTTAAAAAAAAAAAGTAATATAGTAAAATACTATTACAACTTAAAAGAATATTTCTATTTTAATATATTTTAAAATGTAATTTATTCCCGTGATGGCAAATTTATATTTTTGTGGTAACTGAAATACTTTAAGGAATTTTTGAAATAAATAAATCTTTAACTTTTGATCAGTTTAACACATCCTTGTTGAATAAAGGTATTAATTTCTTTAAAAAAACACACACACACACACACACACACACCTTACTGACCCCAAACTTCTAAATGGTAGTGTACAAAAACAAAAAAATACTGGAAAGTATTGTTCAAATAAAATTTGAAGCCTCTGTTTGTCATTACCCATTGTGTTTATTGCCCGTTGTGTTTGTTGGACAGGCTGAGGGGAAGCCTGATTTCCCTGGTATGTGAGGCCCAGCGCTGCGTAAGCCCTCTCGATGGAGCTGGGGTCTATCTGCCCTGGGGTACTGAGATGGGGGGCACCGGGTGGACCACCAGTTACATTACCCAAAGAAGAACTTAATCCCACACCCACAGTGCCTAGGAGAGCTGAAATCATTTGGAGACAAAAAGCAGAAATAAATCAAAATAAATGACAGTTCCCATCGAAATCGGAATCTGAAAATAGGAATGCAATTGTTGAAATATCCAATTTTGCAACACTGAAGACAATGAAAAGACTAACAGCAAAAATATTACAAGGTTACAAAGTAACTTGAAATGTATGAAACAGCAAGTTTTGTATTAATACACACACTCACTCTGTTGATTCCTCTTGTCCCCTGCGTTTTTCAGTGGTAGACATACAGGACAGTCATGCCGCGTGCAGTTCTTCCAGTGAGAGATTATTTGTCTGGATGAGGCACAGTGCGCCACTAGAAAGCAATAAAAACACAAACCTAATATTAGTAATAGTGCCATGTTGTATAAATAGGCAGAACTGCTGAACAACAGAACCAAAAGTGCCACAATGTTTCAGTTCTGTACAGTTTATACACTCACCTTGGCAAGATTTGCCAGCCTGGCAGTGCGTCATGTGGTTGAGGACGTTCTTCATGGTGCGACAATGGGGCAGGCTACACTGCCGTACTTCCCCATTGGCCTGCTCCCTCCGCTGGCACTTGTGGGCATGGAGCAAAAGCACCAGCTGCTGCTGTATGAGTTTGCGCTTTTCTGGGTCGGCCGCTGGAGGAACTCCTCCCACCGCTGTTGCAGACACGGCTGATGGAGCTGATCCGGGCCCGAGAGTTCCTTGGGCATTAGGCACCATGCCGGCTACTCCTGCGCCTCCGGCAGCACCCGCTGGGGAAGGCTGGGAAGCCTGCTGTGAAAATCAGAAAATAACAGACATTAAGATATTTTGTTGATTTCATTCAAATGAGTCTAAAATCTATATGACTGAATACAAACCATGCCAGGTAAGCCCTGCACAGGCTTCTTGTCGAGGTTAAACTGGGCCGGACTGTTGGGGAGACCTGGTTTGTTCTGGAGCTGAGAAGCCAGCCCTGCAACACCCAGACTCTGACTGGCAGGCTGACCATATGGGCCTCCATAGGGGCCTGAACCTGCATTCATCCCCATCTGCAACAAACAGACAGAGAGAGATGAGAATGCTTCCGTTATATCCACAATGTGGACAAAATCTTGGAATCCAGTCATAAAAAGGGAATTTACTGTACATCAAGGTCAAAATTTGGATGAATACATCAAAGGAGGACTGTACGTTTAATCAAATTGCAATATGGGCTAGTGTCTGTGTCGGCACAGTTGAGTCTACACACTGAAGCATGCGTGATGCTAGACTAGTGGTGTTTTCAGCATCTGCCTCAAACTTGATCTCAAGAGCTGCGCTGCGAATTCACTTTACGAGCATTTCAACATTTCATTTGACAAAACTATCGTCAGATACATAGCATACATACATACAGTGCCTTGCACTGAAATAAGTACATTGCATAAGTATTCATAACTAAATATTTAGTTGAAGCACCTTAACAGCCTCAAGTCCTTTTTTGTTTGATGTTGCTCATCAGCATTTTGCAATTATCTGCAATTCTTCTCCTCACCTGTTCACCTCTCAAGCTCTGTCAGGTTGGATGGGGGCAGATGCACATTTTCAGGTTTCTCCAGAAATATTTGATTGGGTTCAATCCCAGGCTCTGGCTGGGCTACTCAAGGACATTCACACAGTTGTCTATAAGCCACTCTTGCTGTGTGCTTAGG